CCCTCCTTTGTACACTCAGAACATTGAAGCCCTCTATGCATCAGCTACAGTATGCAGTACTAGATGAAGCTTTCATTTGCATTGCTGTTGTAAATGAATTATTTTTAATCTCAGAATGATGGTCTATATAAAAAGGTTAATGGATGTAGGAGGAAATCTATAAACTTTATCTGAGCTGCTCCATGGGAGGAAAAGCACATAAATAAATCATTTGATCATTCATAGAAAAAAAGTTCCTGGAAAGTTTTGCTGACACATGAGTGTCCCAGATACATCCAATGTTTATAATGCTCATGCTGGGCTTTTCAAAGATGAATGAGAATTGCTTTCCAAGTTCGTACATTCCTTCACTTGAGTAACTTTTCAATAAAACCTTCTCCAGCAGCAATTACTGATTTAGATCAAGGTCAGGTTGCCAATTGAGCAACACTGGCATTTGTCAAAGACCAGATCTCAGTAACCATGCCAGATTTATGCCTCCTGCCCCCTAGGTTAAGTGCCTGTGTGCCCTCCAGTCACATTGATTTTTTTTTAAATTTCATTACATGATCAGCAGGGCTTTTTTCTCAGTGGGAACCCAGGGGAACACAGTTTCAGCACCCCAGCATTGAATGTATGTAATGGCAAGGGGTGCAGGGGTGTGCTGGAGGGTCTACTGATGCTGGCTGTTAGAGGATATTTCATTGCGGAGAGGTCTGTTATTTATGGGTAGGTCTTTTGTTACTGATTAATATTATTATACAGGGTTTATATAGCGCCAACAGTTTGCTCAGTGCTTTACAATATAACGGGAGACAATACAGCAACAATACAGTTCAATACAGATGGGAGATCTATTGTTGCTGAGGGACACTTATTGCTAGAAAGGATCTACTGTTGAAGGAATAGAGAGTTTGCGGTTGCTGATTGCTGCCGTGTCTATTGATGCTGACAGCTAGGAGACCTATTGTTGCTGGGGGGGGGGGGGGTATTTTGTTGTGAGGGGATCTATTGTTACCAGGGGGTCTATTGTTGCAGAGGGGATCTATTTCTGCTCGAGAGTCTATTGTTGTTGGCTGCCAGGGATCTATTTTACTGCTTTTCTTGTTATCATTAACAAAGTTCATACAAATTACCACAAAATGATGTTTGGTTCTCTAAAACAGGTGGTACTAGGAGGTGGATAGAGGGTGGAACCAAGGGACAGTGCACAGAGGTGGGCAGGGGGTGGAGACAAGGGATGACCCAGAAGGGGGGGGGGGGTACCTGCACCTATTCTCTAAGAAAAACAGCCCTGATTTTCAGACCTAGCCACACAAAGTAAGCAAAGCTAGAGGCAACAAGGTTGAAAGACTCTGGGTCAGGTGGGAATGTGCTGTTGATGGGAGCACCATTAAAGCCAACCTGTTGTATTGCCCTGCATGGACAAAAAAATCTTCAATTTATGTGGGTCTTAATTCTGGGAGACCAGCAGTGTTCCGATCATTGGATCTCTCTGCAGTCACATGACTGGGTGCATATCCTGCTGAATCTAAATTACAGAGACCAAGAGATGTCAGTGACAGACTGGAGAGTTTAATAAAAGACCACATAGATGAGTTCTTGCTGGGAAAAAAAATATTTTAAGCAACAGACAGCATGGATTCATGAAAGACAGAAGTTGTCAAACAAATCTGATTTCTTTTTATGAGGAGATGAGCAAAACCTTGGACAGAGGGTTGGCGGTGGACGTGGTATACTTGGACAGAGGGGTGGCGGTGGACGTGGTATACTTGGACAGAGGGGTGGCTGTGGACGTGGTATACTTGGACAGAGGGGTGGCTGTGGACGTGGTATACTTGGACAGAGGGGTGGCGGTGGACGTGGTATACTTGGACAGAGGGGTGGCGGTGGATGTGGTATACTTGGATTTTACAAAAGCGTTTGACACCGTTCCCCACACACGGCTAATGTGTAAGGTACAGTCTACGGGCTTGAAAAAATCTGTATGTAAATGGATAGAAAACTGGCTAAAAGATCGTATTCAGAGAGTAGTGGTTAATGATTCATACTCTGAATGGTCTAGGGTTGTCAGTGGTGTACCCCAGGATTCAGTGTTGGGACCCTTACTTTTTAATATATTTATAAACAATATAGGGTCTGGGATTAAAAATACCATTTCAGTCTTTGCAGATGACAAGCTGTGCAGTGGAATAACGTCCTTACAGGATGTCTCCAATTCACTAGACGACCTCAATGCTCTGTGTAATTGGGCAACTATGTGGCAAATGAGGTTTAATGTTGATAAATGTAAGGTTATGTACTTGGGGGCTAAGAATATGCATGCATCATACATACTAGGGGGGGTACAACTGGTGGAATCAATGGTGGAGAAGGATCTGGGAGTTCTGGTAGATCACAAGCTTAATAATGGCATGCAATGCCAAGCTGCAGTTTCTAAAGCGAGCAAAATCCTCTCTTGTATTAAAAGAGGTATAGACTCCAGAGAGAGAGATATCATATTACCCCGGTACAAATCATTAGTAATACCTCATCTGGAATATGCAGTTCAGTTTTGGGCACCAATTCACAAAAAGAACATTGGGGAACTGGAGAAAGTACAGAGAAGGGCAACCAAACTGATAAGAGGCATGGAGGAGATCAGCTATGAGGAAAGATTAGAGGAACTGAATTTATTCTCTCTTGAGAAGAGGAGATTAAGGCAGGCCATAGACGGGCCATTTATCGGCCGAACTTTCGGCCAATAAACCAAATATCGGTCGTTGCTGGCAGTGATGCTGCCACCAATGTCTATGAAAAACAGCCATTTTTTGTGCATTTTCCAGTATGACCGATAAAAGTAAATGAGAAGATCCGCGAAAAACAGCCGACGGTTTTGCCCCACTAACGACATGAATATCGGCCGATTTTTCGTGCGGATGAAAATTAGGCCGATAAATGACCCGTCTATGGCCTGCATAAGGGGATATGATCTCCATGTATAATACATAAGGGGGGATATGATCTCCATGTATAATACATAAGGGGGGATATGATCTCCATGTATAATACATAATGAGGGATATGAACTCCATGTATAATACATAAGGGGGGATATGATCTCCATGTATAATACATAAGGGGGGATATGATCTCCATGTATAATACATAAGGGGGGATATGATCTCCATGTATAATACATAAGGAGGATATGATCTCCATGTATAATACATAAGGGGGGATATGATCACCATGTATAATACATAAGGGGGATATGATCTCCATGTATAATACATAAGGGGGGATATGATCTCCATGTATAATACATAAGGGGGGATATGATCTCCATGTATAATACATAAGGGGGGATATGATCTCCATGTATAATACATAAGGGGGGATATGATCTCCATGTATAATACATAAGGGGGGATATGATCACCATGTATAATACATAAGGGGGATATGATCTCCATGTATAATACATAAGGGGGATATGATCTCCATGTATAATACATAAGGGGGGATATGATCTCCATGTATAATACATAAGGGGGGATATGATCACCATGTATAATACATAAGGGGGATATGATCTCCATGTATAATACATAAGGGGGGATATGATCTCCATGTATAATACATAAGGGGGGATATGATCTCCATGTATAATACATAAGGGGGATATGATCTCCATGTATAATACATAAGGGGGGATATGATCTCCATGTATAATACATAAGGGGGGATATGATCTCCATGTATAATACATAAGGGGGGATATGATCTCCATGTATAATACATAAGGGGGGATATGATCTCCATGTATAAATACATCAGTGGTTCATATATTGAACTCGGTGTAGAGCTATTCACCCTGAGGTCATCACAGAGGACAAGGGGGTGCTCTTTACGTCTGGAGGGAAAGAATTGTAATTTCCAAACACGGAAAGGTTTCTTCACAGTAAGAACTGTGAAAATGTGGAATAGACTCCCTTAAGAGTTGGTTCTGGCCAGCTCAGTGGATTGCTTTAAAAAAGGCCTGGATTCTTTCTTGGATACACAGAATATAACTTTCCCTCATTGTACTTCTACCCTCCTCCTCTCTCACAATCGGACATTTATTTGTTTCCCTCCAAATCCCTTTTCAGGATTCTTATCTAGCCTGAATGTTGTCCCAGTTGCCCACAGCTTTCCAAAATTCTGACATCACACATCCCAGAAGGCCTTGGGGTATTTTTTAGCGCATGCGCCAATGCACATATTCAGGGGACCAGTTATCTCTTACATGCTCTTGCAACTGGAATGTGCTTATGTACCATAGGGGGGCAGTTGCAAGAATGAAAAAGATTTGGCCCCCTGATGATGTGCATATGAGTTTGTATTTTGAGGATAATCCAGTGAAGGTAAGAGGGGATTAAAAAATACCACAGGGGGTTGAAGCTCATCTTTATGCTAACAGTGTAACTTCAAGCACAAATAGGGTTAGGTAGCCTATTCTGATCCCCAGGTGGCCTCCACAACACGTGCTCCTCCATACCCAGAAGTGTTGGGTATTTAAAATCCTCTAGATTCCATTTGAGAGCAGAGCAAAACATGGCCATGGCTAAGCTCCTTGCCCCCACCCAAAAGAAAAAAAAAAACGTAAATAAAAATGTTCAAAAACAGTAGAAAATATTAAATCAACAAAACATGGAACTGCTAAATTTCTTTTAATTTGCAAAAATAAGTGCCATAAAATGCCACCAACACCAATATTAACCTCTTGGAGCCGGCGCCTCCCTGTAAGGCCCTGTAAGGGCTTCAGAAGCTGGGAGGTGGGGCGGGTTTTTAGGGTCATGTGCCCGCCGAGATTCGCTGTCATGGTGGTCACATGATCGGGAAAGGTCCCGATCGAAAGAGGAGATCGGAACCTTTCCGTGAATACCGGACATGTGTGCTGGGGAGCGCACTCAACACAAATGTTTTTCTTAATTGCACGCAAATGTAAAGGCTCAGACGCCAGGAGGCCACACATTTGCGTTTGGCCGGCGCCCAGAGGTTAAAGACAAAATCAGTGTCACGGGTGGACTGTATCTGTGGCTGGCAGTGGCAGGGTGACAGTTGCAATGAGTGGAGGATGATGGATCCACACTCTGACAGATCCCAGGCTGGAATTCCGCAGGCAAAGGGGGGAGATAATACGCTGTGACAGCAGGCAGCCCAGCCCACACACAGAACACATGAACTGAGCGATTCCACACAGTGACAGATCCGACACAACACCCCACCACCAACACTGACACAGATCAGCAGGAGAAGAGCAGGCTGTGAGATTGTGATGTCAACACTCACTGACACATTGCACATGTGATGGATGTCCGGCCGGGTCACACTCACACAGACACGAGACATTATACTCACAGAAACCTGCAAAATATATAACTGACGTGGGAATTTTTCCCACTTAATAGCGTGCAGCGACGGGTTAATCCATAACTATTTTTTTTGCTGCACGTTCACACACAGGATTTACATTATCTAACATCATCTATGTCACAGTAATATCTACACACTGATTTATAACCCTTAAGACCCGACCTATTAGTGCAATCCACACACATCTCTATTGCAGAGTCCTTTAGACTCGATGATCACTTTTATCAGTGTTGGTATCACAATTACTATTCAAAATATTTTTATTTTATTTTTATCGGGTTTAGCTTAATGATTACAGTTACTATTGCCATTATTATCATTGCTGTTGATTTTATTTCTATTCGATTATTTTGAGCATGATTAGGAACTCTTGGTTCATATGTAATATTTGTAATGTTAATATATATATATATATATATATATATATATACACACACACAGTTGTGTTCAGAATAATAGCAGTCAGACATCACTAACCCGATCAATCACTGTTTTTTGTAGAAATGATATTTCTACATAGCAAATAATTTACTAGCAGGTGTAGTAGAGTAATAGAAATCCAACAGACCCAACAGTCATGACATGCATGCTGCTGATTCTGTGTCATTGAATCACTCATTGAAAGGGGCATGTTCAAAATAATAGCAGTGTGGAGTTCTATTAGTGAGGTCATTCATTCTTTGAAAAACAGGTGGCAATTATTGCCCTTATTTAAGGAAGGAAGGCAGCAAATGTTGTACATGCTGGTTACAGTGCATTTCTCTCTGAAATTCTGAGGAAAATGGGTCGTTCCAGACATTGTTCAGAAGAACAGTGTACCTTGATTAAAACATTGATTGGAGAGGGGAAAACATATAAAGAAGTGCAGAAAATGATAGGCTGCTCAGCTAAAATGATCGCAAATGCTTTAAAATGGCAACCAAAACCTGAAAGACGTGGAAGAAAGCGAAAAACTACCATTGGAATGGATAGAAGAATAGCCAAAATGGCAAGGACTCAGCCAACAATCAGCTCCAGGAAGATGAAAGAAGGTGTAAAGTTACCTGTGAGTACTGTTACAATTAGAAGATGCCTATGTGAAGCCAAGCTATCTGCAAGAAGCCCCCGCAAAGTCCCACTGTTGAAAAAAAGACATGTGCTGAAGAGGTTACAATTTGCCAAAGAGCACATTGACTGGCCTAAAGAGAAATGGCCCAACATTTTGTGGACTGATGAAAGTAAGATTGTTCTTTTTGGGTCTAGTGGCCGGAGACAGTTTGTCAGACGACCCCCAAACACTGAATTCAAGCCACAGTACACTGTGCAGACAGTGAAGCATGGTGGTGCAAGCATTATGATATGGGGATGTTTCTCATACTACAGTGTTGGGCCTATTTATCACATACCAGGGATCATGGATCAGTTTGTATACATCAGAATACTTGAAGAGGTCATGCTGCCTTATGCTGAAGAGGAAATGCCCTTGAAATGGGTGTTCCAACAAGACAACGACCCCAAACACACCAGTAAACGTGCAACATCTTGGTTTCAGACCAACAAGATTGACGTTATGGAGTGGCCAGCCCAATCCCCGGATCTTAATCCAATAGAAAACTTGTGGGGTGACATCAAAAATGCCGTTTCTGAGGCAAAACCAAGAAATAGGGAAGAGAACTGTGGAATGTAGTCCAATCATCCTGGGCTGGAATACCCATTCACAGGGGCCAGAAGTTGGTTGACTCCATGCAACACAGATGTACAGCAGTTCTCAGAAACAGTGCGACTACAACCAAATATTCATTAAGTGATTCAAATGAAAGCAAAATCTTCAAACATTTTTCAGTTTATATAGTGAATGTTTGAGTTTGTAAAGAAGAATACAAACACTGCTATTTTTTTGTACAGTCTAATATTCACTTTTCTTCAATTTTTGTAGAGGAACAACACAAATTTGATAAGCTATTAGAAGGATTTTGAGCTTTATTCACTTTTTTCAACACACTGCTATTATTTTGAACACAACTGTATATATATATGCTTTTTTTTTCCATGGTTTTTTTTATATAAATACTGTTTTTTTGCTTTCTCATATATTTGCTCTTCTGTATATTTTTCATGTTTGTTTAATAGCCCTGAAGAAGGGAGAGTCTTTTATCCCAAAAACTGTTGGCTTGATGTACTTGTCGTTATCTCAATAAATGCCTGAATCTACCATCAAAAGTGCATTTTTTTTGGACATCGGGCGCTCCTTCTTTTCTATTATTCCAAGTATATGTGTGGAAATGACCTCAAGGACGTACCAGAAAGGCAGCAGCCCAAACCCTAAAAAGGTTTACTGCCAATATCCAATATTGGGTATAACTGATTGGAGGGACATCTCCCTACCCACCCACGCAACCACCCACCAACGACCAGTGACTTATCCAGTCAGTCCAGTGTAGTTTTTAGCACAAACGAGACATCTGAATCAGACATTACATTTCTCCACAGGCACAGCTCCGCCTCAGGTGATGAATGGGCAGAGAAGGGCTGGAACTCCACAGTTATTAGCAGCCACCAGTCGGCTTGCAGTAAGGGACTTAGTCTGAGAGAAACACTGGAGGGAGCTGCAGCTCAGCTGCTACACTGACCCCAGACACCAGGCATCTTCCTCTGTCCTTTCTTCCTCCCCTCTGCTGCCCCTCCCCTCAGCTGAAGGATCATTCATGACATGTGGCATCCCACACAGAGAGAGTTGCAGCCTGTGCTGTGCCCAGGTGTCCCTAGGTGGCAGTGCACCCTAGGTGGCTGCCTAGTTTACCTAGTGGAAGCACTGGCCCTGTTAACAGCAGCCACTGTAACGGAGAATAATTGCACAACCCATCACTTTATCTCTGTTATAACAGGCTTATGGTGAAATAGTTTTTGTTTGACATAGGCAGTTTAAGGAGGGGGAAGGGAAAGATGTCCATGATGATGCAAAAGTGGGCAGCCAAAAATGCAAACGGCAGATGCAAATGTGGACAGAGTGTGAACCCTCCAACACTCGGAATGAAGACTGATTGTGTGAATGATGGAAGAAGAATTGAAATGAACAGGGAAAGAGTACAGTGGATTTGGGAATGAGAAAGATTTCCACACAGATAGTGCCTCAAATCTTGACAGAAAATCAGAAAGAACGTTGTCTTACATTTTTTTTTTTAAGAATGCAGATGTTTTTTGACAGGGTTACTACCAGTCTATTCCAGGAATTAAATTGTCACATCTTGTACATCCCAGGAGTTTTCAAGGCATATTTTTTCATCTGAATGAGGGAAAGAGAACCTCTCAGCTAAACCACCCTCCTGCCTGCACGCCTGAGCTTAGGGAAGATGGATTCCAGGCTACATGAATCATCTGCCCTTACTCAAGATGGCTGAGGCTAGAAATTCTAGAGGGATGTTTTTTCAAGAGATTTCTCAACAAAATATGTCATGGAGACATGAATTGATGGTTGGATTTGATTTGGATGATACAAATGAATTGAATAGTATATTGCTCAGATACAGTTTAGTTCTGCTTTAACCTTTACAGTGCCAGAAGATAGCCACTAAGGGCAGTATCGGGCAGCTATGAAGGAGGCAATGCAGGAAGAATTTTAGCAGCAGCAGCCACCTGCAGGCAATGGGATACACAACGTTAAGCTTAGCTAATGTGATTGGTACTGTATCCGAACACAAATACATTGAACTTCAGCTTTAAGGACATTTGGAAACATAATATTTCTTTCCTCTATACCATTTTTTATTGTAGCTGTTTTTCTCATTATCATTTTTTTCCAGCTCCGGTAATAGGAAGATAGCAGCTGACAGTACAATTACCTAGTTCCTGTGATTCGCAGGAAAAAGATGTGTGAACCCAGACTTTACCCGCAGTCTATTCTGTAACACCTTAAACATCAATTCATTTTTTCTCCTAACGCTTGTTAAATGTCTTCATGGCGCAGGCAGTACTCTGGCTCAGAGGGACAGCTTGACCTACTGCACAATCCTACCCGAAGCCTCCCACTGAAGACTTAGCACTTTGGCTGCGTACATGTCACTTAAGGTTTACACAAGCCACATTACTTAAGTCTATTAACATTTCTTTAAAAGGCAGATAGTAGGAGAAACATCAGCAGCCTCCAAAGGTCTGGAGAAGAGGTTATGATTTCTTTTCTTAAAGGAAACCTATGCAAGAAAAAAAAATCTAAGTTTCCATTGCTCTCCTACTGAAAATGTAAGCTCCTTGGATGTCTCTGGATTTAATACTTACCAGTAACAAGCATACAGCAAGTAAAAATCTGTAGATCTTGTTGAGTTTTATGTCTAGTAGTAGATACCCAATTGTGCCTGATGAAGGAGTTTTGAGGTTAAAAAAAAAAAAAAAACTTAATATGAACAAGAACAAGTCAAGGGAGGATGATGACTCACCAATCTACTCACTTGACAGCAGACTACCATAATCAATGTTGGTTTACAAGCACAGATCCAGTCATGAAAGTTAATGGTTTAATAAATAAATAAATAATACATAAAAATTTTGACACTTTTTACATGTTTTGAGTATGCCTTTTAGCCATTATTAGTAGACCTCTGGACCCCGAAATAACTTACTGGTCTCACTCCTGCTAAAAATACTAGATCTACAACTCATGGTTTAGTGTGGTGGTCAGTCGAAGATACTCCTTACATTTGTGGTCATTCCAGAATTACCCCCATGGCTGAAAATCAATGTCCGTGAATTTCTGAGAGGCAGAAATTGCCATTATAGGAACCCCTGGGAACTTTCCTAGATGTAGGGTGTCATACTGGTGGCCCTCCAGCTGTTTTGTGAAAAAAGTACTTTCATGCTCCTGCCGAGCCCTTTCACTGATCAAATTGAACCCATGGGACTTTTGGTTTGGCAACAGGGATGTCTACGACATCTGTGTCTCGCTCAGGGTATAGACTGGA